CTTTTCCTGTTTGTGTGGATACAGATTGTCCGACAGACTTGCGTCCGGCATACTTGCGTCGAATCCCGACATCTTGCACGATCAAATTCCGATCGCACGTGTCGAAAACCTCGTACTTGAATAGTTTTGTTTGGAACGTAAAAACTCATATTTCGTCATATCCCAACACCCAGGAGTGGAGGCGGCGCCGGGTAATCTTCGATTATTGCCAAAATAGACCTCGCGAAAACACGCCCGCCAGTATACCCAGCGATGAATGATTGCCAGTGTGATTGTTGCCATATTAGCTTCCGGTGGAGAAATAGAATTATTTTTTCTCCACGGTGGAGAAAATAGCTTCCGGTGGAGAAACGACACCCCCAAGTCTTCCCCAAACGTAATCTATCTCTTGTTCTATATAGGCGGGCCCGCTCCGTTGCCCTGGCCGCAACCCTGGAATGGTACTATGGAAGGGGGATGAAAGCTCTTGTCGGAGTCCCCAAAGCCCGTCCGCACTCGGTCCGTGGAGGTTGCAAGAGTGTCGAACATCATACACAACGCATTCCAAGTAATCGCCAGACGCATCATAGCTATCACCGCAACCCAATGGACTACCCGATCAAAACAAGACTTTGCATCATCTGAAATCCATCCCGCTGAGCGTCGCTGGAGAATCAGCAGGTCCCACACCAGACGTTTAGACAGGGCAAGATCGATCGCTTGATGGTTTTTTCGAGACCCGCACTGACCATCGGCCAGTAGGTGATGTTCTTCGCCGTAGGCCATGGCCAGGCGGCCCACTTTCTTGTAGTTCGCTTGGGATTCAGAATTCATGAGCTGAATCGTACGCATTTTTGTCAGCCGAAAGTCGCCTGGCTTCTTTTTGATAGCAAAGTTCATCAGATGCCGCCAGTTGTCAGGGACAAACCCACTTATCAAGGGAATGTGGCGGAAGAGAACGTCGCATTGGGCCACCGTAGGAGAATAGATACCAGCCTTGAAATGACCGTTATGTAGCCCGTGCGGTTCCGAGCCCTTATTCTCGGGATTACGAGACCAGAAGTAAGTAGGATCTTCAGGCGACACTTCCATCGGGGTCATGGAGTGCCCTTGATGAAACCGGCACTGCTCCAGGAATGACTGAGTGCAGGAATCGATCCCATCCGGCATTGGAAGGCGGCCCTCCAGTAGTGCGTACGAGTTCCTCTCTGCGTCCGCCCTGTTGAACATCGAATACAGGGGTTCGTCCATGGGAGGAGTCGTATAGGGCGATCGAGTCTGATCGTACCGTGCACGGTTTTCCTGTATGCACCCTTGCTCAACTTGTCTCCGGTCAGTGAGAGTTCGAAGGTCCACTTGTCCGGTAGGTAACTGCTCCTCAACTTGAATCGCTTGCAAACCACCGGTAGATCCTTTTGACTGGGCGCGGCGGCGGGGTCTCGCCTCCTCTCGTTGCTTCATCCGCCGTAACCTCAAAAAGCGATCTCTAGCCTTGCGCGATGTCCATTGTTTCTCCTTAGATTTCTTCACTTGAATAGTGAAGAACTCCTTGCGCCATGTAACCGCGTGGTTTTTCTTGGCATGCAAGTACTCTTTCCTGTCATTACGCAATGCCTTCTCCAATTCAACCGTAGTCTTCTTCCAGGCGTCAGGCAACTTAGTCTTCTTCATAAGGCGACGGATTTTCCGCGAGCTGACTCGACACTGCTTCCTTCCCTTCAGCAGTAGAGACTGGCGATCCCAAAAGTTTTGGATCTGAGGAGACCACGGGACGGCCCCATTCGTAACCCTTCGACACCTCGCTTCCGCTTTCCGACAAATATCGTACGTCTGCTTGTGCAAGCAGTTATACTGGCGTCCCATTTTCTCGGTCATAATCCCACTGTTTAATGTTAATTGTCTATGAAGCTGCTCCAACCGCGATGGAATGGAGTACACGTCATAGCCTTGGTGAACC